GCCTCCCAAAGTGCTGGGATTACAGGCGTGAGCCACTGCGCCCGGCTCTCCTTTTTTTTTAAACTCCATCCTGGTGGTAGGTGACGCTGTGGGATTTTGTGTGCCCTACTGGACATGACCTAGATGATCTAGGGCTTCAGTGGCAGATTTTGGCTGAGGCTTGGAAGGTGGAACCTGGTAGACACCTCTTTTGTCCCCTGAAGATTTTTCTCCCATGGAAAGGTCTTTGTCCTGAACTTTGAAGTCCTCTCCCAGACCCATCATGGCTTCTTTTTTTTTTTCTTACTTATTTATTTATTTTAAAGATGGGGTTTCACCATGATGGTCAGGCTGGTCTTGAACTCCTGACCTCAGGTGATCCATCCACCTCGGCCTCCCGAAGTGCTAGGATTATAGGCTTCTAAAATAAACTACTGGTGCGGCTGGGCACGGTGGCTCACACCTGTAATCCCAGTACTTTGGGAGGCCAAGGCGAGTGGAACGCCTGAGGTCAGGAGTTTGAGACCAGCCTGACCAACATGGTGAAACCCTGTCTCTACTAAAAATAGAAAAATTAGCTGGGCATGGTGGCACCACATGCCTGTAATCCCAGGTACTCGGGAGGCTGAGGCAGGAGAATCGCTTGAACCCGGGAGGTGGAGGTTGCAATGATCAAAGATCACGCCATTGCACTCCAGACTGGGCGACAAGAGCAAGACTCTGTCTCAAAAAAAGGAAGAAAGAAACTATTGGTGCTTATAATCATACAAATAATAGCATACAGGGCATGGGCCTTTTCTTTTTTGAGACAGTATCTTGCTCTGTTGCCCAGGCTGGAATGCAGCAGTGGTGCTCACAGCTCACTGCAGCCTCAACCTCCTGTGTTCAAGTGATCCTCCCACCTCAGCCTCCTGAGTAGCTGAGACTACTGGCATGTACCACTAAGCCCAGCTAATTTTTTATTTTTTGTAGAGATGGGCTCACGCCTAGCACTTTGGGAGGCTGAGGTGGGTGGATCACTTGAGGCCGGGAGTTTGAGACCATCCTGGCCAACATGGTGAAACCCTGTCTCTACCAAAAATACAAAAGTTAGCCAGGAATGTCGCCTATAGTTCCAGTTACTTGGGGGGCTGAGGCAGGAGAATCACTTGAACCCAGGAGTGGATGTTGCAGTGAGCTGAGATCATGCCGTTGCACTCCAGCCTGGGTGACAAAGCAAGACTCCATCTCAAAAAGCAAAGGGGTCTCACTGTGTTTTCCAGCCTGGTCTCTAACTTATGGGCTCAGGCAGTTGTCCTGCCTTGGCATTCCAAAGTGCTGGGATTACAGGCATAAGCCACGGCGCCTGGCCTGTGGGTCGTATTTTTAGACACTACTCTGGCATCATGGCTGGTGGGCCTTACTGCAGTCCTGTTCAGTGAGGTGGGGCAGAGCCGATGTGACCTAGGTCCCTGCCCTGCCTCTGGCCCTTGGTAGCTGCCAAAGCTTGTAAAAGATCGACAGCTCTCAGTAAGCAAGCAAGACACAGAGGTGAGAATCTTTGTAGCAGAGGCTGGGGCCCCATTTCTGAGTTCACTGCTACCCTAGGCTCTGTTCCAGGGTCCTGGAGAGTTAGACCCAGGTGAGCTGGCATCCAGGGCCCTAGGCTGACCGAACTTCCCCCACAGAAGCGGTACCGCGCGGTGTATGACTACAGCGCCGCCGATGAGGACGAGGTCTCCTTCCAGGACGGGGACACCATCGTCAACGTGCAGCAGATCGATGACGGCTGGATGTACGGGACGGTGGAACGCACCGGCGACACGGGGATGCTGCCAGCCAACTACGTGGAGGCCATCTGAGCCTGCAGCGCCCCCCACCTGTCTTCAGCGCATTCCACGGCATCGCATCCGTCCTGGGCGTGCCCCGTCCATTCTTCAGTGTCTCTGTTTTTTAAAACCTGCCACAGCTTGTGATTCCTACCCCTCCTCCAGCTTCCTTTGCCAACTGAAGCCTTCTTCTGCCACTTCCGCGGGCTCCCTCCTCTGGCAGCCTTCCCCCTTGACTGACTTCTTGATTTTCTCTCTGGATGGAACAGGCCTGGGCCTCTCTGGGGGAGGGCGCGGCCGGTGTGCGGGGCTGGAATGGGAGACCTGTGGGCCCCTGGGCCTCACCTGCCCCTCTGTTCTCTCCCTTCACGTCCTCCTGCCCAGCTCCTCACACACCCACACATTCCAGGGCTGGGGTGAGCCTGAGACTCCCAGAACCCCAGGGCAGGGGCTCCCCACGTTCCCCAGAGTGGGATCTGCGTGTCGGCTCCTGGGATGGCGACAGGGGCTCCTTTGTTGTGTAGGGAGCAGTGCGATGGGCTCTACCTCTCCTTCTCAAAGAGGGGGCTGCTGCCCACCCTGGGTCTCTCCCCACCTTCTTCCTCCTCAGGGGCAGCAACAGGAGAATGGGGTCCCTGCTGTGGGGCGCGTTCCTCCCCTCCCGGCGCGTTCCTTCACACACTGTGATTTTGCCCTCCCACCCATGCAGGCCCGTACCGGGCAAAGAGCTCCCCAGGAAGCACAGCTTGGGTCAGGTTCTTGCCTTTCTTAATTTTAGGGACAGCTACCGGAAGGAGGGGAACAGGGAGTTCTCCCCCGCAGCCCCTTTCCCCACACCCACCCCCAGTCTCCAGGGACCCCTGCCTGCCTCCCAGGCTGGAAGCCGTGGTCCCGAGGTGTGGGGCAAGGGTGACCTTGGGCCATTTGGTCTTCAGCCTCCCTCAGCCCCCAGGACCTGGGTTAGGCGGCTGCTCCTGCCTGCTCTCATGGGAAGATGTCTCGGAGCCTTCCGTGGCCTCCCAGTCCCAGCGCAGTGCCAAGTGGACTTGGAGCTGCACAGAGGCAGCGGGGACCACTGTGTCTCCAAGACCGGGTGTGCGGAAGCAGGAGCGTGTGTGTCTGCAGGTGTCTGACACGCAAGTGTGTGAGTGTGAGCGTGAGAGATGGGCAGGGGCGTGTCTGGAGATGTCTCTGGGCCTGTGTGTGGCTGGGGCATGTGCGTGGCTGGGGCATGTGTGGTACGAAGAGCCCCCGAGAGTTTCCTCGGAACCTGCATCGAGAGGGGAGGGCTCCTGGGGAGGAGAGGTTCCTTAGGTTTTCTTTGGAAGGAAGTTCCTCCTTCCCCATATCTTGGAGTGAAGGCAGCCCACCAGTCTGCCCTTCGCAGTGTGCAGGGTGGAAGGTGAGGGGCTGGCGTGGAGTTGGTGGGGCTGCCGCTGGGTCCGCCGCCTGCTGGGGCTGAGGCTGGGGGAAGGCTGTCACTCCAGGCATATTTTTCCCCATCTCTGTGTCTGGGCTGCAGAATAGGGTGCCAGAAGGACCCTGTGTCACCCACAGTGTGAGTGTCTCCCTCTGGGGGCTCTTCCCCTAGACCCCCCTCACTTACATAAAGCTTCCTTGAAGCAAGAAAGAGGGTCCCAGGGCTGCAAAACTGGAAGCACAGCCGCCGGGCCGGGGAGGGGAAGGCGGTGCTCTGCCCGGCCCCTGCTCTCTGCTCAGGGGTGGCCGCAGCAACGCTGGCCCCACTCGTTTCATCTCTGGTTTTCTTGCCACCCCTTGGGAGTCCCCATCCCATCTTTGCCCTGAGCCCAACCAGGCCCCCCCGCCATTGGCCTCTTGTCCCTGCACACTTGTACCCACAGGTGAGGGGCGGGACGTGCAGGTGTTGGCCAGTTCAACAGTCAGTCATTATGGGTGTTTTTGTCAACTGCTTATGAATTGGTCTGGGGATACCTGCCCCAAATCAGAGGTTGAGGAAAAGACGGTGGGTGAGGAGGCCCTGCCTAACAAGTCCCCTTTCCCTTTCTTGGCCCGTCTAGGTGGAGGCAAGTGAAATATCTTATCTTGGGTAGTGTGGGGGCTGGGGGACGCAGAGAATCCCTTGGGAGTCTTGGGTGGCACTGGTGCATTCTGTTTCCTCTTGATCTCAAAGCACAATGTGGATTTGGAGACCAAAGGCCAGGGACACATCCCCTTAGAGGACCTGAGTTTGGGAGGGGGTGAGTGCGGGGGAGAAGCAGCAAAAAGCCGCCTGTTGTCACTCGGCTTAATTCTCCTTCCCAGACAAGGCGAGCCAGTCATGGAACCTTGCTGCAAGCCTGCCCTCTACTCTTCCTGTCCTAAAAATAGGGGCCGTCTTCTTACACAGCCCCAGAGAGAAGAGGGACCGTCACACTGGTGCTGAGGGACCCAGGGGCTGCTGGGTGCCTGCTTCTTACCAGAACCATCCATCCCTAGTAGAGCACAGAGCCCTGAGGGCCGGGCCGGGCTGGGCCGGGCCCCTGGTCTTCCCTACAGTTCACGAGCTTTTTCCACCCGTCTAATCCCAGGAGAGATGCATCCAAGCCAGAATGTGAATATAACTTTTGTGGACCAATCATAAGAATAACCAGAAGCCCAGTGGTGACAGTGCTTTCTCCCTGCACGGCCTCCTGTTTCCTCCCTCTCGTGTCCCTCCAGGGAAAATGGCTTTATTGCTTCATTTCCGCCTTTCCCTTCTCACACATGCACTTTTGGGCCTTTTTTTATAGCTGGAAAAAACAAAATACCACCCCACAAACCTGTATTTAAAAAGAAATGAAACGACCAAGTGAAATTTGCCTCTGTCCAGACATTTCATCTGTGTGTGTGTGTCTGTGTGTGCGTGTGCGAAGCCACCATTCATCTTTTTATATGGGGTTGTTGTCTCATTTCGGCCTGTGTTGGTCCTCTCCCTCGTGGGCTTGTGCTCGGGATCAAACCTTTCTGGCCTGTTATGATTCTGAACATTTGACTTGAACCGCAAGTGAATCTTTCTCCTGGTGACTCAAATAAAAGTATAATTTTTACCTGCGGACTTGGTTTCCCCTCTCTGGCTCTGAGGTGCTGCTGTGTGTGTGTGTGTGTGTGTGAGTATCTAGCGGTGAGGTGCTGCTGTGTGTGTGTGTGTGTGTATCTAGCGGTGAGGTGCTGCTGTGTGTGTGTGT